CACGAGGCTTCGCTGCATGGGGCTGCTAACCGCCCCGGGGCCTGGTCATCCTTGTTCCTGGAAGAGAATGTCTACCGAAAGCGTCCTGTTTTCCCTCCGGCTTCCCACGGAGAGAGACAGGCCGGGCTGTATTGTTTAAAAGGCGCAGTGGCGGGGCCTGACCACGTGCTGCAGGGCAGGTGTCGCCGTGCACTCCCCTGCACGCCTGCCCCCCCCCCCCCGGAGCCTTCGCTTGGGAGCTGCAGCTGGCATGGGAGCAGAGTGGCCCGAGAGGGACCCCAGCCTTTGCCGTCTGGAAGGGGTGGAGGGCACAACTGAAGAGGAGCTGGTTGGCCGCAGTGCAGACGAAAGACAGCCAGCTCTGTTCACCCGACATGCATGGGGGTGCTCTCGTGTGGCCCCCCCATCTTATGGGAGTGGAAACAGAGGCCCAGAGGAGTGAAGTAACTTGCAGATGGTTTGGGGGGAACAAAGAGACCCAGCCGCTGCCTTGATAATCTTCCAGTGGCTGGGAAGCTGGGGACCGCGGCGCCATGAGCAAGACAAGGACAAGGGGTGCAGGAGGAAGGGCTGGCAGAGGCGAAGCAGACTGGGGCAGTGATTAAAAGCACTGAATCGGAGAAGCCATGGGGATGGCCTGTGGAGACAGACCGCTGGGCCTAGCGAGGGAAGGTCTAGAGGTCCCAGCAGGGGGTCACCCACAACAGCAGCCTCAGAAGCCCTTGGGGGCTCTCGGAGCCAAACTGCACACACTGGACCTACCTGTGATGAGCAAAGTTGGGCCATAGATCTCTAATGACGGAAGCCGCAGGGAGAACAGAACCCCAGGACAGGGCCTTGGGGACCTCAAAAATTGGAAGCCTGGAGTGGGGAGAGGAACCCATCCCAACTCCATGTTCGCCGGCAACCCTGTGCTCATTTTTCTGATGGTTTTATTTATCTGAGAGGCAGAGATTGCAAGAGCACAAGCGGGAAGGAGAGACTCCCCGCTAAGCGGAGCCTGATCCCAGAATACTGGGATCACCACCTGAGCTGAAGGCAGACACTTAACCGACTGAGCCACCCAGGCGCCCCACCCTTTCATTCTTTAGTGGGCCTCCCGGACACTTCGGCCGCTGCAGGGCAGCCCCTCCTGGGCAGGGCCTTGACCCCGGACTCTCCAGCCCCCTGCCCCTCCACCTCCCCAGGTGGCCTTTATCTCCTCACCTACCAATCAGGCCTTTTCCCACACCTGCTCCCTGGCTGTACTTTGATCTTGGAGTCATGGCCAAGTTCCAGCCGGAGGGTGGCTCGCTCCTCCCCCTCTGCTTTCTCTTTAGACAGAACCCTGTCCTAACCTGGATTCTCGCGGCTTCTGTGCTGGGGGCTGGCCTCCCTCCGCCCTTCAGCTTGTCAGCCTGACCACTGCGCGTAAAACTCGCCCCAAGGTGAGTAACCCTGTGTTCTTGTCCTTAGAACCAGACCCCCAGACCGCGGCCGCCGGGGGTGCAGCAGGCACAGAGCTGGGCGGAGACGAAGATCTGGAGACCATCAGACGGGAGGCGGAGGAGGAGCTCTGCGTGGACGTACGTGCGCAGCGTCCGGAGAGAGGGCTGGGCTCCGCAGCTGGTACCGGTCCGGCAACCCCTCAAGTGGTCGCTAAGCGAAGTGTTCTGTGGCCCCGGGGCCGACCTTCCCGAGCTGGCCAGAACGCACTGCAGACGCTCCGGCCAGACCGGCCTTGTAACACGATCCCCCCGGGTTCATACATGTGCACGTTCGAGATCGAGAGGTGCCGGGCCAAATGTCTCCCCTCTAGCCCCCTACAAAGCTTGTTTTCCCCGAAGTCACACAGCGAAGCAACTCTGTGCAGCGAGCTTTCTGCACAATTGCTGAGAACGTGACACTTGTCAGCAGGGTCTCCTCCCTCCGCCACCAAGTGCCTGGCCTCCTGCCGCCAGGCTTCCTTGGGAACACCCCTCCTCCCAGCTTTTCCCGCCTTGGGACCGGTCGCAGGAGCAGGTACCATGGGAGTTCACACATTTCCTCATGACCCCCAGGAAGCGTACTGGGGGGGTGGGGTGTGACTAGTGGGGAGACATTTGTCACCCCTCAGCCTCACGGCCGCGGGCAGCCAGGGCTCACTAGGGGCCCCCCAGAAAGACGCCCGCAGCCTTGCCACCCCCACCCACTCCCCTGGTAAAGTGCGCAATTCCATGTGGTTCCGGAGACACAGACACTGTCAGAGCTCAGAGCGGGTTTCCAGTTGCGGAACCCACACGCGTATCGTTAAGAAACAACACTGGGGCAAGCGAACCAGCTATGTCTGGGAGGACCCACAGAATTCATGGTTCTTATTCTGCCTGGCACTGTTCTAGACGGATCAGGTCCTGATGGACTGAACCTTCCGGTAACTCTAAGAGGCGATAGGTACCATCATCATCCCCATTTCACAGATGAGGAGACTGAGAAACAGGTGAAGCGAGTTGCCCAAGGCTGCACGGCCAAACTGCGGTTGGGCAGGAACACCAAGCAGGGCAGGGGGCTCCACAGGTCCTCCCTCTAACTGCGCAACGCTCTGCCTAATTAATAATAATTAATTAATGCACTGCCCACCCCGCGTGCTGGCGTGGCAGCTGTGGAGGAAGATACAATCGCACAGTCACAGCACAACCACTCCCCACCCCGTCTGGGGAGGCCTGGACCACACTCACATGATGCCACGCAGAGGCCTAGGAAACGCCTGTGGTTTGGGCACCGTTGTCTCCCCAACGGTGTGCTGGTGGAGTCTTTGATGACCAAGGCATTGCTCCCGACCTCCTCCATCGCCACAGTCCGGACACCCGCGCTGAGTGTGCTCGGCTCACCAGAGGGCTCCGGCCCCTTCCCGCCCCTCCTGCGCACTCCACTGGCACACGACCCTGGCTCGTGGGACCTTGTGCCTGCCGCTGGCTGACAGTTTATTTGTTCTTCCAGGACCTGCCTGACTTGGAAGATGTGGACACAGGCGAGCCTCTGGAGGGCCAGGATGATGAGGTCATCAGCCCCGTGTCCCCACCATCAGCCCAATGTCACTGTCACTCTGGTCCTGTTAGAAAGCGCAGCTCCATGCACGTCAGGTGCCCCCACACCTCTGCACCCCAGGGTCTGCCTCTGCCAAGCAGGTGCAGAGCTGCCCGCTCCCAGATGAAGCACCTGGGTCTTCCTGAACACACCTACTGGCACTGATTTTTTAATAACTCCTCGTATGTGCTCACCGGGGAAAACTTTTCTGTCCTGAGGTGGCTGGTGTTAGTTTCCGGGGTGCCTGCCCCGTAGTGACAGGGAAGGGGAGTGGACGAGACAGAACTGGGAGGGGTGGTTCTGCACGGATGGGCACTGTCAGGGCCTGGGTGCAAGGACAGGGTGAGACACCATCTCTGGGCAGGAGCTCGTCACCAAGGGAGGAAGTTCACACCAGCCCACAGTTCCCATGGGGAACTCCTCTCCCAGGAGGCTATGTCCTCGTGGAGCGTATGGCAGCCCAAGGCCCAAGCTCCGAGTGCAGCTGACTCAGGGCCCCAGGAGCATGATGGCGTGGCTGGCCCCGACGAAGGGCTGGAGAGGAGCCCTGCTGGAGGGCTCACCACCCCTTCAGGGGCTTGGAGACAGGGGGCCACGGGGCATCGGTCCTGTGTCCTCAAGTCCCAAGGGTGGAGGGTGGGGCTCCCTCAGGCCTTTCTTGTACGTGACAAGAGTATTTTACGGTCAGTAAAAAAGCAGCGCTGGCACTGGACATTTCATAGCGACTATCCTGAAAGCAGCAATTTTCACTCTTTCTTAACAGATGTGCTTTCCAAAGATCACAGCCATCTCGAGCTTGAGTGATGACAGTGACCCTGAACTGGACCACTCCTCACTCCCAGTGCCGGAAGACACCTCTGATGCCCTTTCAAACATATTCGCCATCCCCAGGGACACGTGGAGGAAGGCTGCGACGCCCTTCACCGCCATATGTGAAGCAGCAGCCAAGAGGGACTCGGACACACCAACAGGAGACACCAAGGCCCCACGCCCGCTGATCCAGGAACTCCCCGGCGAGCAAGCTTCAGGCCGGCCAGCAATGCCCCCAACCTGCCATCAGGACGCCCCACCACCCACTCCCAGCGAGGACAGGGACAGTGACCTACTTCCAGCCTCGCCCCCAGGTAATGCCACCCTAACTTCAAGACCACAGGGGCCCACGCCCCCTGCTACCCACCCTGGTGGGGGGAGCAGCTGCTGGGCTGGAGGCCGCTCACCACAGACCGCGGAGGCCACTGTGGATCGTGTCCCTGCCCACGGCTGCTGCTGGCCCGGCCAGAGAAGCCGCACAGCCGACCTGCTTCTGGTCGGCCTGACCAGGGCTGCCAATCACCACGCGGGTCTGGAGAACCCGGGTTTTCACCCCCCGTCCACACCACCCGATCCTCAGCCTCTCCAGACCCAGGCTTCTGAGGGTGGGCAGGCTCTGGTGACATGACAGGGAGTGTGGGACAAAATGAGGGGGACCGCTGGCCTGCGGGTACAGGTGAATGCTGAGAGGGGTGGTGCTGGTGGGGAAGGGTGGCCAGAGCACCCGGCTGGGTGGGACAAGTCACCAGCTGACCAGTCGGCCTGGCCAGGAACTAGAGGCCCAGGCACATGGCCAGGGAGAGGCACATGGGGAACGTGGGGTAGCGCTCACACGTAATGGGCAAACGGGGCAGGGCAGTGTGGAGTTCTGTCGCTGGGCCTCTGCTGAGCCCAGGCGGTTCTAACGCGTCACTAGCCGGCAGCCAGGGTCGGTGCCTGACTCGAGGGCGAGCACAGGTCCCGAGAACACAGCTACCTTCTCTCCTGCCTCCTCAGGTGAGGTCACGGAGGAGAACGAGGTGCAGGCTGAGACAGAGCTCGCTGAGCCCGAGGCGGGAGAAGACCGGGAGGACATTGAATTTGGCTTGGACTGAACCCCAAGGTGGCCCTTCCGTCCCTAGACTAATGGGGACAGTGAGCCCACAGCTAAAGGCCCCCCTATGGGTGCAGGTCACCCCCCTTGGCTGGGCTCCCCTTCCTTCCAAAGAGTCACAGTTCCTGAGAGCACTCGGCGCACCCCCCCATCTGCTGACCCCATGCAAGCGTGCACCACTGTGTTCCTGTGCTCAAAGCAGAACGCGACGTCCCAGGGTCTCTGGGGCAGAAGTTGTGTAACCGAGCATTACAGACATTTTAGTATCCGCGTGAGTCCCCGTGTTACTGGGTTGTTTCACATGCGCATGAGTCCTGTGCGACTCCTTCCACCAGGTTCCCTGAGAAAAGCAGCACTCACACGTGCGAGGAGAAATCTAGAGCAAACGCTGGTGTCTTGGGACATTCTGAGGGCGGGTTTCCCCACAGGGGAGCAAAGCCTTCCACAGAGCCACACGCTTCAGAGGAAGGGATGTGGGGGCCGCTGCCAGGCTTATTCAGGTCCTAAACGTGGGTTCCAAGTGTCTCCCTCCGTGAAACGTCTGATCACAGCGGACGCCGCTTAACTGACACAGACTGAGCGGCCGCCCAGCAGCTCCCCGCGAGCGCGGCGAGGAGCAGGCGCCCTTCCGTGACCCTGGTGTCTTGGGGGCAGGGGGCAACAGCCCCAGCTCCTGGGCAGCGCGGCCCACCGTCTCCTGGAGGGAATCCCCACGACACGGCCCTTCAGGACAGGACCACAAGGACCGACTCAACATGCCTCCGGAATGATCTTCTAGCAAAAGTGTAAGGAGAGGAAACAACTATCCTGCTGTTCCCGTTGCTCTGAAATAGGAAGGCCTGTGCCCCGGGGACTGTTCTCTTTTCCCACTTCCCAGCTTCCAACCACAGAAGGCACAGCAGGTCTGGGATGAAGGGCTCCCCGGAGGGGGAGCAGCTCCCCTGGGGTCCTCAGAAGCCCATGCGTGGCTTCTTCCGCTGGGGCTGAGAGCCAGAGGGGACGGGTGCCCGCTGCCTGGAGGGGGTGGCCCGGAGGCTGGAGGTCTGGGAGGAGGACACAGCAGCACCTCTCAGGGTGGCCCTTCGCGGCGGCAGCTCGGCTGTGCCTTCCTGGGGGGTCTGCGACCTGGAGGGGGTGGCCCGGAGGCTGGGGCTCTGGGAGAGGGGCGAGCAGACCCCACGCGGGCTGTCCCCTCCGAGCGGCAGCTTCGCCATGTAGTCGCGGAGAGTCTGCTGCCGCTCCGAGGGGACACCCCGAGCCCACAGCTTCTGAGTCGACTCATGGGAGGGCGGGGTCACCGGTGGTCGAGGCTTGGCTTCGGGGGATGCCCGGTCTGGGCTACGAGGGGGGCTGGTGGCATCTGAGAGGTCCAGGCGGCCGCTGAGCGAGGAGAAAGTGCTGGACAGTTGAGTCCGGCGCTTGTGCCGCTTGGGCTGCCTGCCGGGCCCAGAGCTCAGGCCCCGCTGCCTGTCCCACCAGACGGCCATCTGGCCTTCCCAGGCCGCCTCCAAACGTGCGCTGAGCTCGTCCTCAGGGCCCGGCTCGGGGGCAGGGGGCGGCTCCACAGAGGGGAGTGGGCCCAGGTCCCTCTGCTGCAGCAGCCTCCCTCCAGCCATGGCCGCTCGGAGACCCTCTGGCCCCTTGCGCTCCCCCGTCCTCTGCTCCATGCAGCCCAGCAGACGGCGGTGGGAAAAGGTGGGTGCCGCCCACACAGGGGGAGGTGGGGGCACCGCCAGCAGGGCCTTCAGCCATCGGCTGCAGCACGCAGTGGCCTGGGGAGTCCAGGAAGCCGTGGGGGCATGGAGGGTAGCCCCGGGGTCTGCCTGGAGGCAGAGGCGCTGGTGGAAGACATCCCCGGCTGCCGAGAGTTGGAAGAGCGACAGGACTGGCTCGGAAGCCGGGAAAGGGATGGTGGCAGCCAGACCTGGACATGAGAGGGACAGTGACGCCAAGGCCCAGCAGGGCGCCCCCATGCCCCCCACTCCCAGATGCACTCCCTGGCCCCAGCGCACCGATGGTCGGCGCTTTCAGACGCTCCTGCAGCCGCCACTGACTCTTGGGCTCCAGCAGGGGAAACGCGGAGAGGGAGTCGCTGCTGGAAGGGAGAGACTGGGGGGGCCCCGCCAGCCTGGGTGCAGAGGCCCCCTCTCCTGGAGGAAAGCCAGACAGCTGAGGCCCTGCCCATCGTCCCGCCCGCCTCCTGCCCCAGCCCAGACTCCTACCTGTAAGGTGCAGCAGCCGCAGGTGCCCGTGCTGGGCGCCCAGGAGCAGCGGCCGTGGGCAGCCGGGCCGTGGCGGGGGCAGCAGCTGGGCCCACAGGGGAGCCGAGGGGAGGTCATGGTTCCACTTCAGCATGGGCACCAAGGGGAGGCGCTCATCCACCAGGTAGAGCGAAAACTGGGGGCCGATAGGAAATGAGAAGCGTGACCGAGGGAGAACCTGACAGAGGGGGATGAGACAGGGCAGGGGAGGGACGTGATGGGGAGACGTTGGGGGGAGGGACAAGGCCAGACCGAAGGACACTACAATGGGGATGAGTGGGGCTTGTGGGGGGAGGCTATGCACAAGGCGACTGGGACTGAGGGGGGCCGTGAGCAAGGGGGAGGAACGCAACTGCGGGGCGGGGGGTGGAACAGCAGCCAAGGAAGGCGATGGGGATGGGTGCACGTGTGCGTGTGTGTGTGTCGGGTGTGTTTGTGTGTGTGCCTGAGTGTGAAGACCGCACACCCCAGAGGGCCGTGTCCGAGGCAGGAGAAAGCGTGTGATGGGACAAGCAGCTCCGTGTGGCTCTCAAGAGGAGTTCAAGGCCCGGAGTTGTCCCAGCAGCGTGACCGCCCTGATGCCCCCCTACCCCGTCCCTACCGAGTAGCACCACACGGGGGAAGCTCCCCGGCATATCACTTGGAGTGCCACACGGGAGTGACTCTCAGGAAAGGCGCAGTCTTGTCACACAGACTGCTACCAGGCCTTCCCTGAAGCCGTCCAACCCTGGGACCTGTGCTCCAGACGCGCCGGTTAACAGCCTGGAGTCCTGGTGGGTGGGTGGGGGGCAGCCCCTCAGACCACCTCCCCTTCTCCTGAACACACAGGGAAACTGTGCCACATAGCACAGACTACTCCCCTGACACCCCGTGCCTTTCCTCCTGCACCGTGGGGCCTCCCCACAAGGCCATTCCCACCCGCCTGTTAGCACATGCCAGCCACAGACTCAACAGTCTCACGATCCCTGTTTTGCCGGAGCTGTCCTCCCGGACACCGTGCGCCGGGCCGCGGGGGGCAGGTGTGGCTCACCTGCGTACAGATGAGATGGAGTGTAGGAAGCAGGGGCTCGGGGCTGCACGCCCCCAGGTACTGGGTCAGCAGGACACGTTCTCCTTTCTGGCATGATGCCTCTGCGCCCCCACGAAAAAGCAACAGACCACAGCCGGGTGGGCCCTGGGGGAGAAACTCAGGTCAGCCCTCCCGCAGCTTGGGGCTGTGGCAAGACTCCGACCAGTCCCCGCCCCGGGCGGGCAAGGTTCATGGCCCTGCCACTCTTCATGCTCTCTAGGGAAGATGCTGGCCCCAGCCCTCCCCATATCTGCTCTGCCCCACAGCTGCGCCTGTGCCGGTCCCCTCCGCTCACCTGAGTGTCAATAATTTTCACTCCTGTGCGGTCCCCCACAGTCAGCACCCGGGGATGAGCGGTGAAGTCTGCCCAGCGCCAGGGAGAAGGGTCACAGAACACAAGGGTCTCAGGGTCCTTGTAGACTTGCTGCAGCCTTGGGGAGACAGGCCAGCCATGGGTGGGGTGATGGGCTGACACGGAGGGGCCCAGGGTCCAGAACACATTGCACAGGGAGCACGGGCTGTGGTCCGGGGGGAGCTGTGTGTTGCGGTGGAGGGTTTTCACGGGAAAGGGGCATTACCCGCCCTGGGGGGTCCACAGACAGACGGCTCCGGAACGGCTGCAGACGGCCAGCTCCCCGGGCAGGTGCGGGCTGTAGGGCACAAGGAGGATCAGCTGGCGCCCCCAACCTTTACCTACACCAGCTCCGTGCACACCACCCCAGCCGAGCCCCTCACCTGAGGCTGATCCCAGTGGCCCCCTTCCCGGCCTGCAGCACCTGGAGAGGGGCGGGCTGCCCCTGCTTGCTGACCTTCCACAGGGCGCAGTGGTAGTCCGAGCGGACAGCCAGCAGGGCTGAGGGACGGACAAGGTCAGAATAAGGGAGCAAGTCAGCGAGGGAGGGAGGCAGGCGGGGAGGGAGGTGTCCAAAGGACTCACTTTCCCCTTGCACAGTGCGGGTCACCACCTGCCGGACAGGTCCTCGGAGCTGGATGTGGCCAGGGTCCCCGAGAGCCTGAGCATCACTGCCTGAGGTCAGACTGACCTCTTGGAAACCTGGGCCTCTGGCTAAGGATAGGTATATGAGCTCTGGTCACTGCAAGTCCCCCAATATCCTGCCAGTCTCCGGGACCAGGCCGAGAGCACCCCCTCCGCCAGAGAGAGCCGCCTCTACCTCGTCATCACCCGCCTGAGAAAGGATACAGAGCTTGTCTAGAGCACCTCCCGCCGGATAGACCAACTGTCCCACCTGGGGCGTCCTCCCGGGCACCCAGGCCAAAGCGCCCCCGGTGAACGCGTCGTCCAGGAGCAGCTGCTCCCACCGCACGGCCAGCTCCTCGTGCAGCAGCTTCCCGAGGAGGCTGGCCACTGACTTGCCCAGGACAGGGCCCCCGAGGATGGAGAAGCGGCGCTGTCGGTAGCTGAGGAAAGCCCAGGGGCAGCTGGGGACGAGGCAATGGCAGGAGGATCAGGCGGCAACAGTGACCAAGAGGAGGACTGGGTCCCATCCGGAGAGAGGCCAGGCCAGCAGGTGCGTTTATTTGTTTGTTTTAGTTAACCTAGAATTTCTTCCTTTGGGAAATGATTCCACCTTATTCCCTGCTGCAAAAGTGGTCCTAGGTCACCCCTGGCCACAGTGATCGGCTCATGGAGGAGCCAGACACCCAGGCCACGCCAACCACACCTTTCCCAGGGGTTTGGGTAGTGCCTCAAGAAAAACACTAGCTTCTTCCTTGAAGTCATAAGCCATCTCACTGCCACTTAGGAATAGTTCGTCCAGGAATTGAGCCAAGCAAAGCCAAGTGAAGGAAAAGAGAAAGAGAGCCTTAGTAATGTTATTCCAACACCTAGATGCAGCCATACCTGCAGCTCATAAATTGAATTCCCTCTTCCATTTAGAGTTTGGTGCGAGGAACTGGAGCCCCTGACCACATGGGGCAGAGGAAACAACTGTGAGGGGAACCTGGACCCCCTTGGCTGCTTCCATATCACCCCAGCTAGGCCTCCCAGCCCGTCCTTTCTCACTAGCCACTTGCCCCCAGGGCTGGTGTCCACCGAGGTCCTGGAGTAGGCTCTTCACACTGACCACTGTCTTCTTCTTAGAACGGCTCTGTGTGGAAAGGCCTTGTCAAGCTCGCACACCCGAGGTTACCCTGACAAGAAGTGGGGCGCCCCCTCTCCTGGCTGGGCAGGGGTTACTCACCCGTGCTCCCTCCAGTTTGAAATTCTCCAGCATCAGCTTCCCCAGGGGTGCAAAGGCTATGTCCCCATGGTCCCACAGGAAGCGGCTGAGCTGCGGGAAGGGGGGCTGGGTCACCACGCACAGCCCCCACCACCCAGCACTGCCCGCTGTGGGGCTACCCACCTGTTCCGTAACGTCCAGCACGGCTTGGGGCTTCCTTCGGAACGTGAAGCCTCCCCGGAAAAGCAGGTCCTGGGCAGTCACCCCAGGGTCCCAGGGATCTGACGGAAGAATGAGGCAGAGAAGGGGTTTGTTCAGGAACCGGAGAGGGCTCACAGGTGGGGGCAGGTGTCCTAGGTGACCGAAGATCACCAGCAGGGAGGGAAGGCCTTTGGGGGGGGGGAGGCGGGGGACAGAAGGGATACAGGGAACAGCTTGAAAGGAGCCCCAGGAACCAAGACACTTACCAGGACCAGGAGGCAGCAGAGGAAGGGGTCCAGGGGTCTCTGGCTCCCAGAGCAGCTGCGTGGCCATGTGTGGCGCCCCATTCTGAGGAAACACAAGCCCGAAAGGAACACAGTGAACACAGCCCCAGGCTGGGTGCACACTTTTAAAAAAATTTTGTTTTTTAATTTTAATTTTTAAAATTTTTTTATTTATTTTTATTTTTTAAAAATTTTTACTTTAAGTAGGCTCCACGCCCAACGTGGGGCTTGACTCACGACCCTGATGTCAAGAGTTGCATCTTCTACCGACTAAGCCAGCCAGGTGCCTCTTCATTTACTTTTAATGTGTAAGCACATATCTTACCAACTCATCGGTACAACAGTCATCACCGCTTTACTGGTGAAGAAATGGAGGCACCGGGAGGCTCGCTCCAGGAAACAACTGGTTAAGAGAAGGGGCTGGGAGCCTGGCGCCTGTCCCTACCTCTGAGCTGCAGCGCCCCCCAGCCCTGTGCCATCACTGGCTGGCCCCAGAACCGCCTGATTCTCACGTCCACTCAGGAGACCTCATGGTTACTGACTGAGGGGAGCCCACAGGCCACTCTGCTCTCCCCAGCGCTGGGCTCGTCCAAGGCCACTCAGCTCCGACACTCGGGTACAGGAGGCAGCGAGCTGGGCTCCCAGAGGGGACCGAATGGACATTAAACCCTTCTTCATCGGGGACCCTCCCCTCTGCCGGGCATCATCCTTAAGCAGCCTGTCTCCAAGTTGGGAGCCAGATGGCTTAGGCCTCCAGGGAAAGCCGCTTGTCCCTCCTGTCTGGGGAGGTCTCTCTCCCCTCCTGTCTCCTCACCACTTTCTCCCCACGCTGCTCCATGAGCACACTCTGGGTTTTGGGCAGTGCTCTTGTCACACGGGGTGAAGATATTATCCTTTGGTTGCTTGTCCTACTGGACCTAACCCTAAGTCCCCTAAGGGCAAGGGATACCTCTGACTCATGCTGGATTTCCAAGGCCTAATGAGGCCCCCCCTTCTCCGCGTGCACTGCAGGGGCTCAATAGTGAGCATCTGCTGAGCAAAGGCAGGAAAGGAAAACCGAGGAAGAGGCAGCAGCCTGTGCTCTGGAGTGAGGGGCCACAGCCAGGGCTCTCCCCCGGATCTTCACCTCAGAGTTCTCGGGCAGGGACTCCGGCAGCATCAGGGCGTCTCTCCAGCTACACATGAAGGACAAGTCAGGGACATTACTCAGACCAAGGGGGCCAGCCACGAACAGCGTGGGTCGAAGGGAGCTGGGGAAGTCCATCCTGGAAAACAAGAACCACACAGCACATCTTCTCGGAGACTTGAACCTGAGCATGCCTTCCAGGGCTCCTGGGAGAGGAAGAACTGCCCTAACAGGGCTATATTTTGAATTTTATTTCAGAAAGATAATAAAGAATAAATAAATACACAGCCTACTGCCAGATACTAATAAGTACTCAATTAAAACCAACCAGCCAGGGGCGGCTGGGTGGCTCAGTAGGTTAAAGCCTCTGCCTTCAGCTCAGGTCATGATCCCAGAGTCCTGGGATAGAGCCCCATATCAGGCTCTCTGCTCAGCAGGGAGCCTGCTTCCTCCTCTCTCTCTCTCTCTGCCTGCCTCTCTGCCAAATCGTGATCTCTGTCAAATAAATAAAATCTTTAAAAAATAAATAAATAAATAAATAAAACCAGCCAACCAGGAGGCAGGGGATGGCAATGTGATAGGCAGCGGCAGCCAGGGAAAGCCTCACTCAGAAGGGGACATTTGGCACAGCCTGAACCTAAGGAAGAAAAGAACGGTGCAGACAACTGAAACGAGGGGTCCTGCCAGAATGAACAGCAAGTACAAAAGTCCTGGGGCAGAAAAGTGTGTGAGAAACAGCTGGGAAGCCAACAGAATGAATGAGGAGGAGCATGGAAGGGGATGTGGTGTGGGGCAGCTTCTATTGTAGCTTTCAGCTCTGCTTGTAGCTACCCTATTACAACCACTGGTGGGGAAATGATGCACCCTCCACCCCAGGCTGCTCTCCCCAAGAGCAACTCAAGTTCCCTCCAAACCAGGACAGAGTCTTCTTCCTCTGTCTTCCCATGTTCAAGTATAGTACCTTGTGGGAAATGCAACTGACCCTGTGTTGAATAACAATAAATTTATGTCAAAGGAAAACAAAATAGAATAAATTTACATCAAAGGGTTGTGCCAGATTCAAACTGCTCAAGAAAAATAAGCAGCCGCGCCATCCCTCTTCTTTTATTAACCACAAAAGTAACAGCAATGGTCACTTCCTGAACACCAGCAGGTGCCAGAGACGGACTACCCGTTTTATTTGTCTGTTGCCTCTGTTTCGGAGTTCTGGAAACTGAAGCTCAGGGAACAGCAAACCCCCCAAGGCCAACAGCTTGGTCCCCCATCCAATTCAAAGTCCAAGTTCTGAACCACTCCGCTCCCATGCATCCACAGGAAGCAAGCATTAGCATTAGTGTTGGAAACCAAAAATCTCTTTCCCTGGGAACTGCCACTGCATTTTATCAATCTATTATGATAAATAAACTTAAATTTTGTTTAAAGATTTTATTTATTTACCTGACAGAGATCACAAGTAGGCAGAGAGGCAGGCAGAGAGAGATAAGAGGAGGAAGCAGGCTCCCTGCCGAGCAGAGAGCCCGATGTTGGGCTCGATCCCAGGACCCTGGGATCATGACCGGAGCCGAAGGCAGAGGCTTTAACCCACTGAGCCACCCAGGCGCCCCTAAACTTATCATTTCATTCCGTACATCCACGTACTGTCAGCACCACGCAGGACACCCGTCACACAGTAAAAGCCAATAACTACTTCTCAAATGAACGGACATGCGTAACTCATGGCACACCAGCCTCACCCTAACGGCGGTCTCTATGTATAACCTCATCTCTTCGCTGAGACTGAGCGCTCTCCCAGGGCAGGGGCTGTATCTGATTCATTCCTGAGTTCTGAAGTTGGACTGCTGCCCTCACTCTTTCCCATAACGGAACAGGAGAGGGCGGTGGCACGAACCAAGGAGGCGCTCCGTGAATCCTTCTGCCCGGTCCCGATTGCAGCGCGGGAGCACCCACGCCACCCGGCGGCGGCCGCACCCCCGACAACCCGCGTGCGCCCGTCTCCAGCTCACCTCCGCCTCCCCTCTTGGGCCTGGGCTCCAGTCCCACTGACCTCCTCCGGGATTGCCTCATCACACTTTTCACTGCAAACCCTCTCTCGGTTCCGAATGAATGCCAGCACCCTTCCCACCCACCTACAAAATCCTACCCATCCTTCAGATTTCCAGACAGCAGGCTTCCCGCGGGTTCTCGCCCCAGCACCTTCGCCTTCCCCCAGAGCACGCACGGCAGCGTGCGATTCGATACTGAGAGACTCCAAACGGCTCTAACAGTCCCCATGGGGAAGGGGCTTCTTCTCTTCCCAGCACCTCGGTGTTTGCGCCACAGTAACAACCAGTACTTACACATCGAATGGAAAAACCCAGAAGTGAGTGAGCCTCAAACCAAGCCCGGCAGGCAGAGGGCGCCGGTGGAGCTCCCGACCCCCGAAAAGCCCCTCCGCGAAGCAGACTCACTTCCCGCCCTCACCTCCGACCACCGCAGGGGACCCGCGGGGACCGCTGCGTGCCCGACAGCTGCCGCCACGCTTTGCACTTGTGGGGGCCTCCCGCTGCGTGAGGCAGGAGCTGAGGACCCACCGTGCAGCGGTGTATAAACCAGTGTATAAACCAGCTGTGGGGCGACCCGTGCCAAAGTCACACAGCGTGGAGCCCGCGGACCCGCGCACAGGCCAAGCCCGAGCTCCGCTCCCGCCTGGGGGCTCCCCCTCCCTGCCGTCCCCACGGCGCGCGCGCTTACGTGGCCCGGGCCCCGCGGTGCTCGTCGGGGACTGGGAACTCCACGGGACGCTCGGCCGACCCACGAGCCACGAGCCACGAGGGAGCTAGCCAACTACACCCCGACTCCAGGGCCGGGGATGGAACAGGGCAAATTAACGGTCTTCCGGGCAGGACCGGAAGTGCTCACTCGGAGATAGGAAGTCCCGCCTCCTAGCGTACCCTCAGCGGGCGCCCTAGAGCGCCACCTGTTGGATGGAGGGGGAATGGGCTTGAAGCCGCAACCTTGCGCAGTAGTATAGTCCCGCGAAGTGAAGTCTGCGTGCTCTTGAGGCCTGTCTGACGCGGGTTCAAATCCTATGTCTGCTCTACTTCCTGTTTCTCAGCCTTGTTCTTGAGTATTAAACGAATTCATTCAGAAAACACTGAGCACCAATATGAGCCAGGCACTGTATTAGTGAGTAAAAATCCAATTAATTGGCCTCATATCTTATGAAGCAGGCTTTACAACTAGGGGTGCGGGAAACCCTGGAGTGCAAGAGTCTCTCCCAATGGTCAAGCAAGTATGGCTCTAGGCATTGCTTCTCAAATTCTAGCTTTCATTGCATCACCTGCATGGGGTATAAAAGACTTTCTGGAAGGGGTGGGACCTGTTGATTTGCGTTGCTAAATTCCCAGGTGATGCTGAGTGTGCTTGTCAGGAGTACACGCTTTTAGGAACAAATATGCAATCAAAAATCTTACCATTATCTTAACCCAATAGCTCTCAAACTCAAGCATGCAACAGAATCCCCTGAAGGGCTTATTAAGCTAGTTTGCTGGGACCCACTCCCAGAATTTCCTGTTCAGTAGGTCTGGGATGTGATTCAAGAATTTGCATTTCTTTTTTTTTTTTTTTAAAGATTTTATTTATTTATTTGACAGACAGAGATCACAAGTAGGCAGAGAGGCAGGCAGAGAGAGAGGAAGGGAAGCAGGCTCCCTGCCGAGCAGAGAGCCCGATGCGGGACTCGATCCCAGGACCCTGAGATCATGACCCGAGCCGAAGGCAGCGGCTTAACCCACTGAGCCACCCAGGCGCCCAAGAATTTGCATTTCTAATGAGTTCCCAGGTGATACTGATGCTGCTGGTCCAGGCACCCCACTTTGAGAAACGTTATTTTTTAAAAATCAATTTCCAATTGCACAGCAAAGGAAACAGTTAACAAAACCAAAAGACAACTGACAGAATGGGAGAAGATATATTTGCAAATGACATATCAGATAAAGGGCTAGTATCCAAAATCTATAAAGAGCTTAGCAAACTCAACACCCAAAGAACAAATAATCCAATCAAGAAATGGGCAGAGGACATGAACAGACATTTCTGCAAAGAAGACATCTAGATGGTCAACAGACACATGAAAAAGTGCTCCACATCACTCAGCATCAGGGAAATACAAATCAAAACCACAATGAGATACCACCTCACACCAGTCAGAATGGCTAAAATTAACAAGTCAGGAAATGACAGATGCTGGTGAGGATGCGGAGAAAGGGGAACCCTCCTACACTGTTGGTGGGAATGCAAGCTGGAAAACAGCACGGAGGTTCTTCAAAAAGTTGAAAATAAAGCTACCAGCAATTGCACTACTGGGTATTTACCGTAAAGATACAAACTTAGTGATCCGAAGGGGCATGTGCACCCGAATGTTTATAGCAGCAATGTCCACAATAGCCAAACTATGGAAAGAACCTAGATGTCCATCAACAGATGAATGGATAAAAAAGATGTGGTATATATACAATGGAATACTACGCAGCCACCAAAAGAAATGAAATCTTGCCATTTGAAACAACATGGATGGAACTAGAGGGTATTATGCTGTCAATCGGAGAAAGACAACTGTCATATGATCTCCCTGATATGAGGAAGTGGAGATGCAACGTGGGGAGGCTTGGGGGGTAGGAAAAGAATAAACGAAACAAGATGGGATCAGGAGGGAGACAAACCATAAGAGACTCTTAATCTCACAAAACAAACTGAGGGTTGCCGGAGGGAGAGGGGTAGGGAGAGGGTGCTGGGGTTATTTATGGACATCGGGGGGGTATGTGCTATGGTGAGTGCTGTGAAGTGTGTAAACCTGGCGATTCACAGACCTGTATCCCTGGGGCTAATGATACATTATATGTTTATTTAAAAATTTAAAAAAATTTTTAAATCAATTTCCAAATTCCCAGCATCCTTCTGTACAGTTTTTAATCTGGGAGGTGTTTGAGATCAGACACTTGCCTTTCCACACTGTGGAGTATTGCCTGAGCTGGGTGCTGAATGAGCAGGAAATTCCAAAAAGCAGAGTTCCTACAGGAGAGAGTCCCCACTAGACTGAGAAAAGTGGGTTCAGTAAGAAGTAGTGATGGAAAGATGCAGAAGGGGGCCTTCTGGGAGCTGACAAGACTGCGTTCATCTCAGTGCTGGTTACATGGATGTGTTCAGGGTGTGAAAATTCACCAAATGATCTGTACACTTTTCTGTACATGAGGTATATTTCAGTAAAGCAGTTTTTTTAAAAAAAATCTGATGCTTTATCACACTGAAACTTCTCAATGCACCTTCTCAGTTGTCTTAGAATGTAGAAGTCACCCTATGAGGTCAGGAATTCTTCTGGGCTGGTCACTGCCATACCCCAAAACACCTGGGAGAGTGGATGCTTGGTAAGTACTAGAGTTATTGGAAGGGAATTATTGGAATGAAATGAGATGGTTCTTCTGAGAAAATGCCAACACTTTTATTTAAACTGAAAAAAATGAAGTCAGACTGTTTTTGATAGACACTGATTCTGTTTTAGCCGATTGGTTTGATTAGAAGGGTAGGCTTTGCCAATGAGGTCATTTGGAGAGTGTTTTTCATAAATGGAATAAGTGAAGCTTGCATCTCCATGGTTTTGGTGGAAACACATTGGAAAGATGATTGTAATACATAATAAACTAGAAATTGCTGCTTTTGTAACTATTTAAACTTGCAACTAAAAACTTGGGCGTGTATAGTTTTTCAAAATTGTTTTGAGGTTATATATACCAAAAAAAATGAAAGCCATTTATATTAGCCATTTATATTATATAAAAAAAAAAGTCATCTGCTGTAACAGATTGCCAGGAGCCCAGTGGCCTAAGACAACATAATATTGGGGGTGCTTGGTTGGCTCAGGTCACCATCTCAGGCTCTGCACACAGTGGGAAGTCTGCTTGAGATTCTCTCTCTCCCTCTACCCAACCCCCCACTCTCTGTCTCTGAAATCAATAAATCTTAAAAATAACAACAACAATGTAATATTGTACAGGTTTAGAGGTCAGAAGCCTGAAAATAGGTCTCACTGAGCTAAAACAGATTTTAGCAGAGCTATATTTCTCTCTGTAGGCTCTCGGGAGAATCTGCCTTCTTGTCTGTCCTGTCTTCTAAAAGCTGCCTGCATTCCTTGACTCATGGCCCCCTTCCATCTTCACAGCAACAACGGCCAGTTGAGTCTTTCTCAAGATGCCAACTTTCCGATTCTGCCTTTGTCTCCCTCTTCCCTGTTTAAGGACCCTGGCGATTGATTAGCCTAAAGCAGTCCCCCCCTACCTTTTTTAAAGATTTTACTTTTAAGTAATCTCTCCACCCAATGTGGGGCTCGAACTCACAACCCTGAGATCCTGAGTCACATGCTGCAGGCACTGAGTCAGCCAAGTGTGCCCAGTCTTCCTATCCTAAACTCAGCTGATTAGAAACTCTAGTTCCTTTGGTAACCATAATGCTCCTCTTGGCATATGATGTAACAGAATCCTAGGCAGTGGGAACGAGGACACGGACATCTTTGGCGGACTGTTATTTTACCTATCACACCACTATTCTGTATCCCTCTTAGGACATACCCATCTAGCTTCTGCATTGCGAGGCCAATTCCATTTCTTCCTTCCTTCTTTTCTTCCCCTAAACAAGCTCTTCCTTTTTTTTTTTAAATTGACATACGCTTACCGTGCAGTAAACTGCACAAGTCTTAAGTGTCCAGCTTATCAAGTTTTTACATACATGTGCCCCCCAATAACCACCACCCAGATCAAGACAGAGAACATTTCTGCCACTTGAGAATTCCCTGGCGCTACTTCCCAGTCAACACCCCCTTCAAGTGGTAACCATGACTCTGACTTTTATCATCATAGATTAATTTTGCCACCTCAAGGAATGTCTATCAACATAATCATGGGGAAGGTGCCCTTTTTAGCCTGGTTCCTTTTGCTCAAATGCCTGGGAGATTCACCCATGTTTTGAATTTAACAGTAATTCCTTGCTGTGGGGTTACAGTCTCTGGTATGACTCTTGCCCGTTTGTCCATGCAGTTTCCTGTGGGTGATGCTTCCGAGCTCAGTAACGCCGTCCATGTCTCTTCGTGGTTGTAAGCAGCTGCCATTCCATTTCTGAGCACCTGCTGTGACGTCCCTCTGTCTGCTGAGGCCTGCTTCTACTCTCTGAGCTATCTCCGAAACCAGAATTGTTCTTCCTGATGCCATTCCTTGAAACGTTTGAGAAGGTGACTCCACCCTGCCCCGCTCTTCCCAAGTCAGATATTCCTGGTTCCCCCACCTGCTCCTATCAGGCCACGCTTCCTGGTGAGCGTCGTCAGATCCGAAGGGAGCGATCGCCAGCAGCGGCGGCGGTGGCAGCAACAGCGACAAACCTCACGGACTGTGAATGGAGTAACGGGTCGTATTTTCCCGTTTGTTGGCTCCTGTAGGACTCCGTGAAAGGTGTGGCCCCTTGGAACCGTTGTGTACTGCATCATAACAGGCCATACGTGATTGTCTTCACCCCTAACCTCATCTTGTTTTTATTTTCCCTTCGTTCCTAGTCCCTCATCTTAAAGAACTGCCGTTCTGTGGTGTTTCCTATAAGCCAACTTAAAATGCCTGCTGCACAACAACAGAACCGGGCGGGGGGCTGCTAAATGGATAATCTGGGCTTCAGGAAGGCCTGCAGTGGACACTTTTTAAATGTAGATCCTGAAGGTGCTGTGGGGCCGCTTCGGTCGAGAACACCTGCCTGTATCAAACACAGACATTCACCGCCCCCCCCGCCCCCCCCCCCCCGCCGAAGCTTAGCGGTTGGGGGTGGGCTGGTAGGATGGGCGCATTTTGGGGC